TTACAAGAGGACATAATCTCACTTAATATTCTATTTTCAGTGGTTTTCGGTTTCGATTTTCGGTTTCACTGTGCGATCTAAATTGTTTCCAAGAACACATTCCTTGAAATCGAGAGTTTGAGACTGCTTAAATTGATGTATAAATTTCACTTCTCAGTTAGGATATAACCACTGAGGAGATATTATATGATCACCACAAATCACTCACCACAAACGTTTGCACCATTTCCTTGACCGATAAAACGTTCGGTAGTTTAGCAATGCGATTGTTGAATTCTTCTTCGACAATTTGCTCTACGTTACCGCAGACCGTTCTTTGCAGTACTTCATGAGCCTTTTCACCCATTTCATCCTTAATTTGCATTTGGCACCTCAGACTGAATCGATGCAATGCGAACGTTTATGTAAGAGCTTTATCGAATGCCATTCAAAAGAGATCGTTCTTGTATCTTTCGACGAGACACTTCATATCGCTATCACTTAACCGTTATTTGAAGCTATTCAGGTTGAACCTGTACTACAGCCACTAACCTTGTATTTGAAATTGACAATATCAGTGATAAGACCCATATTCTCAACTTTAGCACTGATATCACCTTTTCGGATGTAACATGATACGGTTCGTATGTATGGTTTATCGTCGTTGTTTTTCTGTAAATCCAACACGACATTCACTTCAACTCGAACTGCCTTTACGGACAAAGTACCAGCTACTGGGAATGAGATCGGAATTGGTGGCAGCAGCTGTAGTTGACCTGATATCGAGCCCGTGATGCTGTAATATTAGATTTTAGTGCAGAAAGGTTAACTGCATCATAATGACTTATTACTGTAACTGATTGCTTTCATTTTCATATGTTCACAAAGGATTATTTCGGAGAAAGTTGGTGGTGGTGACGAGAAAATAGAGCTTACTAGAGGTCGAGATCGGTAAGAGCAAGTGTCATGAGATTTGGTGGATTCGGTGAGAGGACGACGAACGTCGGAGGACGGTGTGCGGTGATGTGCAGTGCGAAAATCTGAACACATCCCTCGACGAAGCACTGCTGTTCGTTGGCTAATGTCAAGTGCATGACACGATTCTCGTACAACCTCTCTGAAGTGATTCGTTTGTGTCTTGCAAAATAACTTTATCTATTTCTTCAGCAAATCAACAACAACAACACTTGATATTTATTTCAGCAAATCAAACAACTCATTACGAGTTTATGCCTCTCTGTTATCACCAATATCACTAATATCACATTCTTCCTTCGTTGGCATTCTTCTTTCCGCGCAGCTAACGATAATAGCGTTGGGAATCAGTCGTCATGAAACTCGGGCTTGAATTATTGATTTGGCAAGTACAGAGGTTTTGGGCTACTCTCCCATATGCCCATTTATTTCTTGGGAGAGGCTACATTAACAACAACACTTGATATTTTGGCATATAGCTCGAGAATAGATTAGTTACACTTTCCAATAAGAAACTTTTGCTGAAACATGGATGTCACAGGTTTAAAGGCACTTTGTTGCGTAGATCATGCAAATGAATATCTTTTTTCAGGATTGAGCACAGTGGTTTAGTCAGGATTTTTTCCGAGGGCAGGCGCGAAATGGTCTTGTCCAAATTAATGGCTGAATTTTGGGGTGCNACACTGGTTTAGTCAGGATTTTTTCTGAGGGCAGGCGCGAAATGGTCTTGTCCAAATTAATGGTTGAATTTTGGGGTGCTTTTTTCTACTATTATTTTTTGCCCTCGCCTCCTTTACTCGTTCATTTTTCTAATTCTTCTTGCCTTCCCATTTTCTCTCTTCTCGTTCCCTATTCTTTTACAGTTCTTCCACTCTCCGGGGGAGACGGAATGGAGGGAATGCGCTCGTACATGTTGCTTTTTGATCGCTCACTGATCAATTCAGCGAAGGTGTCAATTCGGATGACTCTACGAACCAACGATAAACCGCTTCTCTGATTTTCAGAACAGTAATCAGCTCAAAGCGGGCATTTCGAATCGAGTTTAATCGCATATTTTTAAGCTCGTAACTGAAAGTGATTCATTCCATTCCCCACAGTTTTGAGTGTCGTTTAATACGGAACAAATTTTCATTTCTCTCCCATGTTCATCTTCAACAACAGAGTGGTGAACCGAGTAGTTTCACTACTATAATGTCTTATGAACCAGAACGGATTGTGACCGTATTGTAAAAAAAGACTTGTTCTGAAGAGTGCTTGACAGTTGGTTTCATTATTAAATTGCATATGTCATAGCACCATACCAGAACCGATCCATTAGGTGGCGTTGAATTAGGCGATCAATTGAAAAAGTGATAAACATTCTATGATATTGGAAATACATTTTGTGACGATTGTATTGTGCGACGTTTTTATACGAACTTTATGAGGTCATCAATAGGCAATGACTTCAAATCAATGATCATTTAAAAAATAATCACATGGAATTTAGCATTGCTCAACTTTTTCGATGTATTGTCAGGGCTAAACCTAACGATTATTTGTTATGGCATAAAGAGGTGTTCAAATTTTCTGCACTGTTCACT